CCGCAATGGAAGTAGCGGCCAGAATTGTGGCCATATCAGGAGTTGAGATTTTTTTTTTTCAAAGTCACCTGCAAGCCAAGGATTACAAGATCAGATACATGCAACACAAGATCAGTACAGATTGAACAAGATTACAAGTATTACCTCGTAGAGCCATTAATCCCAGATTCTCGAAATGTCGCTAGGGTACCACCAAATGGCTAAAGTCACGCTCTGAAGAGGGTCTGCTGTAGATAGCGGACAAGATGTCCCAATCGCTTTTGTCTAGAGAAAAGCGTTCGATCGACCCTGCAAGAGAAGTAATTATGAATTAAAAGCTAGTTTAAACAAAAATGGCAGCAAAGGGAGGTGCAAGAATGACACTCACTGCTTCGAAGTAGGAGGTCGGAACTTTTATATAAGGGACAGTGTCCCCTTCACACTCCTGCCACTTCCCTCGAACCCAGAACCAGGTCTCCTTCTACCCCTTAATAGAGGTAGGGAGACCCGAGACAAAAGGAGAATGCCCCCCATGGACACAACGCATACCACCTCTTAGAATCCCCTTTTCCTAAGGATCGAGGTTGATAAATTGTTTGGAAGACGTAGAGGGGGCATATCCTCACCCAAAGAAATCTCCTTCCAGAGAATGAATGAAACCACTAATTGGGCCCAAACGTTAGGTACAAGTTAGGTAGGGGCTAGTCCTTATAATCTAAGGACGGCTCGAAAAAAAGGGTGGAGAGGTAGACGAAGTCTGGCCTTCAAAAGATACTCACTGATGACAACGTACCCCAGCCTAGGAAAGCAAGCTTGCTCATCATGAGAAGGAGATAGAAGTTCTACAGTATAGGGGATCACACAGAATACCAAGGGTTCGTAAAAAACTTACTGGTGAGACAAAGGATTGACAGAAGCACGAATGGAATGACAAGGAAAGAACACTCGAATAAATTTTGAAGAAGAAGAGAAACTGAAAAGCTTGAGAGAAAAGGGTGTAAAGATTCGTGTAAAAAAAAAAAGGAGAGAAAATCTTTTCAAGGTTTTGGCTTTTACAGACAAAACCTACTCAACCTTAACCGTTGGATCACGATCCGAAGCATCTAACCGTTGGTTAAGCAAGGTTTAATTCTAAGCCATTCATCATTTCTGATGCCTCGACTTTTAAGGTCTAGATTTGAAGGTAACTCACAGCCCCCTCCCGCGCCTGAATTTAGCTGAAGAACGTGGGGGAGTAATTATTATCTGGCATTAAAAGTGGCTGCAGTTGCGTATGTTGGAAGTTGCACTGTCACAACTGTACTTTTTGAAAAGGCACCAAGACATCAAACCATTGATGCTCCGTGATTAGAACGCCTCGTATTGCTCAAGGTCATTGGGAAAGTAACAAAATCCTCATAACTGAGGTGGTTTGGATCATCAAACCCTTTGAAGTCTCTAAGAGATCATCAATTTTAAAAGTCTCTAAAAGAGCATCAAAGTCTTTAAGAGAGCATCAATTTTCGAAGCTCTAAAAGAGCATCAAAGTCTCTAAGAGAGCACTAATTTTCGAAGCTCTAAGAGAGCATCAAAAGATCTAAAAGAGCAAAAAAGTCTCTGAGAGAGCATCAAAGTCTCTAAAAGAGCATCAAAGTCTCTAAGAGAGCATCAATTTCCGAAGCTCTCTCTAAGAGAGCATCGGTTTCCAAAGCTTTAAAAGAGCATCAAAGTCTCTAAGAGAGCATCAAAAAGAGAGCACTAATTTCCGAAGCTCTAAGAGAGCATAAAACTCTCCGGGAGAGCATCAAAGTCTCTAAGAGAGCACTAATTTCCGAAGCTCTGAGAGAGCACCAAAGTCTCTAAAAGAGCATCAAAGTCTCTTAGAGAGCATCAATTTCCGAAGCTCTAAAAAAGCATCAAAGTCTCTAAGAGAGCACTAATTTCTAAAGCTCTAAGAGAGCATCAAAAGATCTATAAGAGAATAAAAGTCTCTGAGAGAGCATCAAAGTCTCTAAAAGAGCATCAAAGCCTCTAGAACATCAAGTTACAAAGCTCTACCTCAAAAGGTAATAACTTTCAAGCCCATGCATTACATGAATAATCATGCCTAGACTTGGGGGACTATTGTTATCCCTCAATTCCGAGGTCCAAAGAGGGAAAGCCACATGGCATACCACGCAAGAACCGTTAGACAAAAAGTCAAAGGATGGCCGAAAAGGCCAGAACTCCCAGTAAAACAAAGAGATCGAAGCTCTCATAACTGCATCGGAAGCTCACACTGACGAAAGCCATTCTAAAGCACCACTTCAAAGACGAGGCACAATCCAATCCGAGGTTATCACAGGGTCGTCTAAAACCCATAAAGCCGACGTTGCCTCCACAACAGATTTGAAGATCTTTTAGAATTGATTGATGGGACGTCTGCAATAAAATGCCAGCAACTTTTTAATGGCGCTTTCAGCCTACTTCTAGTGTGGCTAATCGTTTGTCAAAATTAAATGTAACAAATGGATGTGATGTGAAACTTCGGTCTAAGAGATGTTGCCATGTGGATCTGATCCAACGATCACTTCGTCGGTTAAACAGTATAAATAGTCTTTCTTTGTATAGAAAGGGGAGACAGATAATTGAACTCTTGAAAGAAAAAAGGCATATCTATTTATCATATCTATTCTTCCACATATTCCATAATAAATACAACGTTTATTAGCAACTTGTGAAATCAGCAATCATTGATAGCGTGATTGTCATCAAATCCGACCACTGGAGCCTGAACATTTGTGTCTCTCACCGGAAAGTACTTCCCACGTTCATTCCAGTGAAGCTACCATCCCTATTCCAGTAGAAACGTGCCGGATCAACGCTTGACGTGGTGAGAGTGGGCCCGACATCTGTTGAAATCATTTTTTGAGGTCAACAAGTGTCATGTAAACGATTTTCATCAAGAATCAAGTATAATATATCCCACTTATTTAAGAATGCAACAAATAGATACGAGTTTAACCTATCCAACCCATTTAACAATTCAACTATCGAAGAAGCGACAGGAGGATAGAAGTTTTAAATAAAACAAGCAATATTGGGATATTGAGTTGTGCAAAGCTAAGAGACATAAGTTCAAATATTTCTTTTATTATTACCATAAACATACATTATGACCTGAAAGATTAATAACAGTAAAAGCAATACACAAAGGTTCCTTCATCTCAACATTTATTTCTAGAAGGTTTATTAACACAAAAAGTCCATACGTTTCAATTTTTTACATTTTCACCCGTATTTCAACATTTCATGGTGAAAAATGTCATTTTCATAATTTTTTTATTTAATTTTTCAATTAAAAATTATAAAATGACAAATATACCCTCATATTAAAAATAAATAAAAGAAAAAGAAAAAAAAATTAACAAATTGCAATCATACTTTCATTTTTTTCAAAGAAGTACAGACAAATCTCAAATAAATTATATTAAAGAATCAAAAAAAAAAAAAAATGAAAAGTCTTCTTCTTCTTCTTCTTCTTCTTCTTCTTCCCACTCACCCTTACCAAGAACTAAAAATAGTATTTTTAGGTCATTCAAATAAGAAAAGAAAAGTCGTACTCTCTCTCCCCCGTCTCAGCTCTCAGCCCTCACCCTCACCTGATAGCATCATCACACCCACTGCCTTCAAATCCTAGGGTGATTAAATCACTATTTCTTTGTTCTTGCTATATAAATCGAAAGTTGATTTTGCTTTATTGTGTGAGTCCAAGTTGGCATGAATTGATTGTAAATAAGGGAAATTCTTTTACATCTGTTCAAAGGAAGGAACTTGAAAGACAAGCCACGATCTATGGGCTTATTAGCACAAAACGTCCATATGTTTGGTCTTTAGTGTGCAAAATGTCCCTACATTTAGCTTTTAGTGTGCAAAACGTCCCCACACATTTGACTTTTAGTGTACAAAACAACCCTATATTTGTAACTTTTTGCATTTTCACTCGTGCTTGCTGATCTTTTTTTCGATGATTTCTTTTTACATTTTTGGTACTCGATTTGATGTGAATTTTAAAAAGATGCTTCTTGGTATTGGTATTTGAGTACATTGACTATTTATCTAAAAAGGTGTAAGCAAATGAAAGACAAGAAATGGAGGTTCTCAAGAGATGTAATGCCCCATCACAAGTACTGTGAGTGTCACAGAAAAGTTGTCCCCATTCAAGAAAGCTTTTGGACGTCAAGAACACTGCCATTGACAATAATGAGAAGAAAATCCCTATTTTATTTAATCATAAAACCTATCTAAATATTTCTACATCATTTAGTAAGAAATATGAGATATTGGTTTTTAGTATTTCTACATTCTCTAGTATTTTTCAATTTATTTTCTGGTTTCGTTTCATGGTGAGAGGTAGATGTATGGGTAGGGGTGGGAATGGGAGTGGGTAGAAGAAGACGACTTTTCTTTTTTTCTTTTTTAATTTAATTTATTTGAAATTTATTTGTACTTCTTTCAAAAAAAAAGGGATGAGTGATTACAATTTATTTTTTATTTTTTCCTTTTCCTTTTGTTTTATTTAAATATGACAATATATTTGTCATTTTATAAATTCTAATTAAAAAATTAGATAAAAATGACGTTTTCCACAATGAATCATTGAAATGTGAGTGAAAATGCAAAAATTTGAAGTGCGATGGCATTTTGCACACTAAGAGCGAAACGTAGGAACGTTTTATGTTAATAAGCCTTTCCAAAAAATCACACCAAAAAAAGTGACGGGCATAAAAAGTGACTTTCAAGCTTACCAAAACATGTCAGATTGCAAGCCCTTCCCCGTTGAATGTTTGAATAGGATAACAGCTCATAAGCACATAATAAGCACTTGAAGACCATATCGTCCAGCATGCGAAGAAGTAATAAGTGAACACGCAAATTCCAGAATCTCGGCAGCGTGATAAATTCAAGAAACAAAAGCAAAAAGAGAATGATCACCCATTTCCGGTTACGACAAATGTATAAAGGAGAGATTACTGGAAAGTAATACTAGAACAACTGGAAATCTAACTATATAAATCATCTTCATCAGCTCCACCAGCAGAAGCTGCGAACGGGTCAGATGCAGCAGCCCCAGTTCCCGACTCTGCAAACCGGAATTCTGTTCCAAATCCCCGAGATTGCTGCAAGGTCTGAGCAAAAGCCTGGTATTTGCGTATATCAGCATCGCTCACACTTCTACGGGCATACTTCATGGACTCCTCAAAATGCGCAGGCTTGATCTCCGCCACTTCATCATCAATGTCCTCGTCCATTGAATCAGGATTATCCTTTCTCCTCCTCTCCCTTTCTATATCCTGAAATAAGGAGAATTTGTTGTCAGTTGTCAATGACCTAACCACCCACAATTTTATTTCAAACTAGCACATTCAAATGATGAATCAACAGCGTCAGAAATAACGTAGACAAGATTACAAATCATGGGTAAGCTTTGACTTGATCTGTAATTATATAACTTGCCTAATCAAGAAAACCAAAGGAGCACAGGATCCAGTTCGTGTTTAGATATTGATCTTTAATAAAAGAAAAAATTGTTCCATAAGGACTAGACAGCAGGTATCACGATGGTTAAGGAAATGTTAGATATACTCAAAACTCTAGATATCATCTGAAGTTCCACCAAGCAGAACCTAGAAATACTAGTCTACGGTAGCTGCTATTCTGTTAAAGTCAATAGAAACTGCAAAATATTAATGGCTTTATTAGGAGCTTAATCAAAGTCTTTTTTTGTTACCTAATATAAGGGCCAAGTTGCCATAAAAGAAACTGTGGTAGTCTGTCCCAAGTTAGGAGTCATCTTCTAGAAACAAAAACATGAATATTTACGAAAACAGAGAACATGTACATATAATTGATGCTAATGAAAGATTTTTCATCAAATGATGGAAACTAAAAGGCTACATCTGCAGAAGAAACATACTGCAAGAAAATGACACAGGATAGCCTAGAACCTTGGATTTTAATCAAGTTGAAATATCCAGAGAAGCTAGGGGCATAGAAAAATAACAAAACCCATGTACATCTGAGTGCACACACTGAGAAAAGAAAACATAAATAGTACATGTAATATCATCATATTACCAGCATTTTTTATGATAAATCATCATTATTAGCAGATATGGAGACAGATGGATAATCTCAAATAAACAAGAAATTAAAAGAAAAGGCAAGCAAAGAAGAGGGCAAAAGCTTACTTTCTCAATGTTCTCTCTTATTGCATATTTACAAGCCCGTTGGCATATCTCTGTAATATCTGCCCCACTAAATCCTTGAGTATATTTAGCAAGAGCTCTCAGATCGACGTCTTTGGAAAGTGGTGATTTTCTGAGACAGGCCTTGAAAATCTGATGACGTGAGTCTTCATCTGGGAGAGGAATATAAATTAACTGATCAAGACGGCCCGGACGCAGAAGTGCAGGGTCAATTATGTCAGGTCTGTTAGTAGCTCCAATAATGAAAACAGTCTTTTTTGCATTCATGCCATCCATTTCAGTCAGGAGTTGGTTGAGAACCCGGTCAGCAGCACCACCGGCATCTCCAACACTGCTTCCCCTCTGCAATAATACCAAAATGGGTTGAACATAAGTTCATTATCTTTGGCACTAGTAGCAAATAAAATTGCAGTCTCTGCAGTGCCTGTTTTCTTTATTTTATTTCGTCTTGATCACACTATTAGGTACACGGTCCTAAATTAAATTATAATTTTTCTCCCTCTTATAAGCGTCAAAGTTATATAATAATGAGCATGTTTAGGTGGGCTTACAGAAAAGATAAGCTTTTTTAAGTAGAAAAGATGAGGTTTTTGGTTAAGATGAATAGATTTCATTTTTGAACAAGCTCTGCTAACAAGTATATTAATCACATCTATGTTTGGGAATCTAGTTAGTATAATGCCATTTCAATGACAAATTACCAAAATGCCCTTATGCATGGGATTCTAGTTGCTTTAAAGGTAAAACGATTTTTGCCTTGGTCAAAGGAAAAAATAAACCCTTGCTCAAAATAAGTAGGACTCCATGTGTTATTTTTTATTAGCTTATTTTCCATCATTTGCAAAAAGGGGGAGTTCTTTTTTTAAACATAAATGTTTGGCAATTAAAGGTGCATGCTTGACCAACTTATAAACCCACTCCGCAACAATTCACACTAAATGAATATAACATGTGGAAGACCAACCTGAGTAGCGATAGAGTCGAGCTCATCAAAGAATAGAACACATGGTGCAGATTGTCTAGCCTTGTCAAAAATTTCCCTAACATTAGCTTCACTCTCTCCAAACCACATGGTAAGCAATTCAGGTCCTTTAACACTAATGAAATTGGCTTGACATTCATTTGCAATTGCCTTCGCCAGTAGGGTTTTACCACATCCAGGAGGACCATAGAAAAGAACACCTTTTGAAGGTGACATACCAAATTTCTCAAATTTCTCTGGGTGTTCCACAGGATATTGCACAGTCTACAAGAAAACAAAAGGTTAGCATTTAGCAATGTGGCTTCAGAGAATAAAAATATTAACAATGCTCAACTCCTAAAAATTAACAGCAAAAATATGGTACAGTTTAAATCTAACTTGATGGTTTCAATTACCTCTTGAAGCTCCCTCTTGACATTTTCAAGCCCTCCAATATCTTCCCAAGAAACATTTGGCACTTCAACAACCTGCTCATCAAGCAAGAAAAATAGAGTATAAATCACAAATTAAGATTCATATCCCAGCGAGTAGATAACATAATGTCACAGCTAAAAGTTACTCACAGTTTCCCGCAAAGCAGAAGGATTGCTTATTCCAAGAGCAGTCTGGAAGTGCTCATTTGTAACAGCCATAGAGTTCAGTATCTCAGCATCAATTGAATCATCTTCTAAATCAATGACGTCCATTTTCTCTCTAATGCACTGGAGTGCAGATTCAGTACAGAGAGCTGCAAGGTCAGCACCAACGTAGCCATGGGTGTCTTTTGCAACTCTTTCTAAATCAACCTGCAGCGCCATAATGATATTATTTGTAAATTTTGCATTTTGTTCCCAAGAAAACAAAATTTTAATTTGAAAAGTAAAATGTCAGCCTTACATCATCAGAAAGCTTCATGTTCTTAGTGTGAATACGAAGAACTTCAAGGCGTCCAACTTCATCAGGAACACCAATGTCTATTTCCCTGTCAAACCTACCAAACCTTCTAAGAGCCGGATCAATGCTGTTCGGACGATTAGTCGCCCCCATAACAATGACATGGGCACGAGATTTCAGTCCATCCATGAGAGTCAAGAGTTGAGAAACAATCCTCCTTTCAACTTCACCATGTGTCTTCTCTCGCTTAGGTGCTATTGAATCAAGTTCATCGATAAAAATAATTGATGGTGCATTCTTCTCAGCCTCCTCAAATGCCTTCCTAAGATTGCTTTCACTCTCCCCAGCCAATTTGGACATAATTTCGGGCCCATTAATCAAGAAGAAGAAAGCACCTGTTTCATTAGCAACAGCTCTAGCAATCAAGGTCTTTCCAGAACCTGGAGGCCCATAAAGCAAAATTCCTTTGGGTGGTTTCACACCAATGGATTTGAAAAGCTGAGGATGCCTCAGGGGCAACTCCACCAATTCACGAATCTGAGCCATTTGTTTCCTGACGCCACCCACATCATCATAGCCAACCTCATCTAGCCTATCCTCATCCTCCCTCCTCACAGGCTCCCCCTCACAGAAGATCTCGGTATCAGGGGCAACAACGCAGTACTCCCCAGGATCAGTTTCAATGACTTTAAATTCAACGCTCCTCATCCCACCTCTCACGAGAAAATGGTCCCCTTTTCTCAATGGGCGATATGCCTCCAGAAAGTAAGCTGCAGATGGAATATTGTCGTTAAGCAAGACAGCGCAAAGCATAAAATCATGAAGTGAACATCGGGATGAAAGAACATTGAGTCATCAAACAGATACAAATTTTCAACTCGTCATAGAATGATCCATGCATTGAATGGCAGTAGTCAAGCACTAGATAATATTGAATCAACCAACGCTCACCTATTAGAGCAAATCATCACATGTGAAACCAAAAAAATTTAATCAAGTTCAACAACTTACGCTTCAGGTATACATCAAACAGATCCCCAGTGAGACCTTCTATTGTGTCATCCAGGGGCAGGACATGTACACGCTTCCCGTATTTGACATCTGGGCACTGGTGCACAGACACTACATCTCCAAGCCGAACCCTCAAGTTTGTCCTGACAACCTTGTTCATTCTGATCTTCGGCTCCTCACAGGTCTCATCAGCCAGGGCAATGCACACAGTATCCTTCCTTTTCTTCCCCTGGAAAACATTGTAGCAGAATATCTAGAATGTGAGTTCACCAAAATATAAGTGCGCTGTCTTGATAGGTAAAGCTGAACATATCCCATAACTGTAAATATTAGTCAATATAACATGCCCCATAAACCATAAATACATATTCTGAAGTGAAACCACGTTGTCTTCTACATAAGCACAAAATGTTTTCACTAAGCATCGTAGATATGATTGAATAAAAGTAGGAGGTAAATATGACCATAAAAGTAACATGCAGAGACTGATCTTATCTCAGTAACCTTAACACATAGGTTGTATCTCACAGAAATAACACGGGGTTCATTAAAAACTAATTCAATGACAAATGGCCAAGTATCCAGCTGGCAATAATCCCAAAGCAAGGTCAAGTATTGTCATTCTCTACATAATAAAGCATATGAGGGCCCCCAACCCCGTGCAAACAAAGAGTCTTAATATTAGAAATTCAGATTCTCCCAAACACAATTTACAAACCCTTTCTATCAAGCCATATTTCAATCCGTATTATCTTACAACTGAAGCACCACACTAAGTTAATTCAAGGCTACCAAATTTTAAGTCCACTTAAGCAAAAATCATAATGGGTACGTATATCTCCATGTTGATCAATCATAAGCTAACTAATAAACCAGCAACAATTCATAACAAATAGCTTCGACTAATTTTCAGAAACCCTAAAATATCTCCCCTAAAAAAATTAAAAATCCAGCAATAAAAATAAAACCTTAATCAAAATAGTGTCTCCGCGGAAAAGCTGGAGCTTCTCCATGGTAGCGGGGTGGAGCGAGACGACGGAGTTGTCATCGTTAACGGACTCGTCAACAATCAGCCGATTCGCAGCCTTCTTTCTCTCCAAAATAGCCGTCGAGAAATCCTTCTTCCCTCCTTTCCTGTTTAAGACCAAAAAAGGGTCAAAATTCCGGCGATGATTTCAACATCATAAATTATCAGCGATTCATTGTAGTCGATTTAACCGAGTCATCGGTGAGATCAAGAATGAATACTTACGAGTCGGAAGACTCAGCTTGGTTACTCATCTTGTGGATAATTGCAGAGGTGAAATTGGATTGTTGTGAAGATTTTTCCTTTGCTGGGAGAAGAAGAAACGGACAGTTTATAAGGCGATGAGAAGTTTACCTCGATGGAAATTAGTCAAATTACTACCCAACTAAGTACGTGTTTGGCTCGACTTAAAACTTTTTAATTTATAGGTATCGAAAATAATAGAAAAGTTTCCTGTTGGGCCAGCTAGTTGAGGGAAGGCCATTGAAGCACAATTTGTAGGCCCATCATTTGGGGCCCAAGTCTCTAGCTGAGGCCATGCCATTCAATGATTTGGGCTCGTCTTCATTTCCCCATCATCTACTGATTGAGCGGTCAACCTCCGTCTGAAGCCACCGCCACCGCTGCCGGCTGTCCCATTCCTTTACAATTGCCGCAAAGGAACAACCTCACACCATCGTCAGGTAGAAAATTCATTATACTTTTAGCAGGTTTTACGCCCAAGCTTAAATTTTTTGAGTACTTCGAGATTTATGTAGAATTATTGACAAATAATTTTTTTATGAATTTGATGCGATAAACTGAGACGCATATGCAAAACTCTCTGGTTTCAATTTCGATTTACCTTAGTTCTCTAACAAATCCCTAAATTCTTCATGGAAGGTGGCAACTACCCCAAAATAAACCCAATCCAAATTCTTAGCCCGAAATAAATCCCCCAAATTAAATGTCTAGTTTCTGCTCCCAAAAACCTACTTCTCGGCTTCTCCTCTCTCTCTCGCTCGGACCACACCTCAGTCCCTGTTTGACGCTTCCAAACGGAGTTTAGCTGCTTAGGTAAATGTAAATGTTTTTTTTTTTGCAATGTCAATGTGTATCTTACAATGTTCCTTACAAAAGTAAAAATTACGAAGTGTATTTTAGGTTTTATTGTTGAATTTTTATTTCTTTTACAATGTTGCTCTTAATTTTTGAATGTTGTTGAAATTAATTATTAGATTAAGGTTTTGAATGTACAAATTAGATTACGCTTAGAGTTGTGCTCAAGATGGGAATTTATAGGTGTTTTCAGGTACATTTATGCTGATTCAATCCTGAATTTCAGCATTCAAGCACTCCAGTTTATTAAATTTATGTATTTTCAATGATTTGGAATATCTTAGCACTAATCAAAGGATAAAAAGTTGCAGTCTTTCCCAATTGTCTTCTTTGGTTAGATATTGATTATGCATTATTGGACTTTCTTATCCCATGGAACTTGGACTGCTCTTATAATAAAGCATATCTCTTGTTGGAAAAATATTCTCCCACATTTGAAGGCTTTTAATGTGTGCAAATTAGATTAGGTTCAGTATTTTGAATGTACAAACTAGATTAGGGTTTTTATGATAAGCTGCCAATATATATATGTAGATTCTATTATAGGAATTTTATGCTCTAGAATTGCCGAGCACTAGATAATGTTGTATTATGACTTTTTTAGTTATATATGAATTTTATTCGTACAATGACTTTTTTAATATTTTAGCCCCATGATGTCATTTCTTGGTTCCTCCCGTCACGGGAGTTCACAGAATCATTCATATGTAGCAATTCACTATTGGACATTAATTCGAATATTTAATTGTTATGTGCTATGTATTTGAAGTAGCATATAGTTTTGAATTTTGAACTCTATAATATTCTTCTCTTTCTATGTTTGATGTTTCTATCTTAAACTGTAAGAGGTAGATATTTAGTAATTAGTTATGAAAGTAAGTGTGACTTGACAATACGGGTACAGTTCAAAACATCTAAGCAAGATTCAGCAAGACCCTGAAACTCTTTTTCCACAATCAGTAAATAAAGAAGAAATATAGATGTTGCATCCTCATCTTTGAATATGTCTTTCAAACTCAACAAGTTTGCGTCTTTTGCCTATGGAGCTCCTGAAACTTTGAGACCCCTCTTCTTGCATACTTCAAGTACTGTGCCTTTTCCTTTTTACTTATGTAATCTCTCTCTTTCTTTCAGTTTTCTTTTAAACGCTTGTTTACAAGCATTGAAAGCAGAATCTATTGGTTATGTACCTATATTTCATTTTTATACTGCATATGTTAAGTTTGTCTGCTCCGTATGACATTTTCATGCGTGTTTTTGTTATTAGTTTTGAGCTTAAAATGTAGCAAATAAATTCATCTACATGTTTGCCATACCAATGGAGAGATAACCTAACCGGGAGACCAAAAGCCGGATTTCAGGTCTGTTTCATATGATTTGGATGATGACTAGTTACTTTCTTCAGTTTGGTAAAAAACATGTTCATGCTTTGCTCGTTTGCTGAAATATCCAAGTGGATACATAGTGAGCAAGCAGCTACCAGAAGTGGCTAGGATTTCTAAAGCGAAAGGAAAAGGAATGAGAAAGAACATAAATAAGTAGATACATATTGTCTACACGGTTTTTTAATTCGATGGCATTTAATCTCTTCTTACAAGATTTCTTCTTTCGTATTAGTTATTAAATGGATTAACATAACAGGATAGAGTCAATTTTGGTATCATCTTTTAGCTTGGGATGATTTTTTCTTCTATGCGTAGATATGTAGACATGGTTTTGCAAGTCAATAACAAATTACTTGCTGTCTTTTTAACAGGCTAAATTTTCACGGATGACACTGCTGAAGAGATATGTGCTGAGATTGTTCATATCGTTGAAGTATATAACTGCAAACGTGGTAGACAGGAATAATGGACGTATAGTTGCAACAGCGTCGACAGTTGAACACTCTCTAAAAAATTCACTTGAATGTGGTCGGTCTTGCAATGCGAAAGCAGCAGCAGTTGTGGGAGAAGTGTTGGCGATGAGACTTAAAGTGGAGGGTCTTGAACAGGGCCAGGGGCGAGGTATCCATGCTGACGTGAACAAAGAGATTGAGAAGAAAGGTCTAAAGAACAGCACAAAGGTATGGTCTATAGTAAACGCCCTTAAGAACAACGGAGTCAAACTTATTCTCGAGGAAAATGACAAAGAGACTTCATGCTCGAGCTACAAAGTGCATGGAGCAGATGATTTCAGAAATCGTAGAGATTGACCTATTTTGTCATTACAAATATCGTGGTTTGCATGAGATGTCTGTGTAATGTCTTTTTACCTGAAGTAGAAACTCTTGATTATAAACATTTTCAACAATGTCCATTAGAAGAACTGTCAGACCTTATCGGTGTTATTTGTGTAAATTTGTCTTGAACGTTAAAAGTTTGGCCCACAAAATAGACATGGCCCCGAACACTACAAAACCCGACCCGTTGACAATAGTTCTTTTAACCAATGTCTGAAATTCAAAGGCAAACCAACAATTCACCAACCCAACCCAAAATGACCAATCCGTCAAGAAAATAGATTGATTTTGATGTGATTGATTTGATGTTTGCAGAATCATCATAACCCGCTGGTCAATTGATCAGACGGTCAACATTCCCGTGCAATGAATGACGATGTCAATTGTCAAATGTGCAGAACAGCCTTTAAGTAAAAAAATAGTAGAATAAAAATGATTGAAAGCACATTATTGAGTTGTTTTCTTCGTGCAATTAAAAAGGACACTACGGAATGAATAGTAATTTTTTAGAGAATGTGTAGTTAAAAAAAATTACGTATAATATTATTATATGAAAAAATGTATGATTGATAAGAAGAAAGTAAAAAATGAATATTAGAGATTTTAAATATGGATTTTAAGGAGTGCGTGATTAAAAATAAGTAAAAATTACAAATCCTAAACATTGTTTGACCAATATGTATACAATTATAAACTTTGAAAACATGCATATTTGCTCATTGTATTGTCTCATAATTAGGGATGAACGCTTTTTGATTCGGTGCAGTTAATAAAGAGAACCGAATCGGATTAAGAATTAATGGTATCTTGTAAATGGAGCCATCGGATTTGTCTTTATTTATAAAATCGAATCGGAACTGAACCATTCGATTTGGTTTGATTCCATACCATAATCAAAATTTTCAATGTTTTCATAATTCCAACAACTATTCCATTTTCCTAAAGTTTGAACAACGCAAGATTAATCTAACAAATGATAGGTCTTGTCTTACAAAATGACAAACATTGTCCAAATTTAAAAACAGAAAAACTGTCTGATAATATTCATTCACCGAAGCATACAAAGTTTGAAACAGCAAATCATTAATTTAATAAATGATAGTTGGGAACTCATAGTGAGCATATTTTTTTAGAAAAAATTAAAATATTTTGGCAGATTCAATATAAAAAAATTGAAAAATTCAATTCTTGACTCGATTCTTTAGATTCTTCAATTCTAGGTTTATAATCAAGAAACAAACCGAATTCTTTGATTCTTGTATCCAATAGACCAATATCCATTACCCATTTTCCTACTCTCTTAAAAGAGGGACATTGAGGATTACTATCCATTTGTGATTTCTCCTCACAAGTCACTGTTCCATATGTGGACAAAAAAAAAAAAAATGTTCGACACCCATTTTTGTATAAAAATGTGTTTTTGAATAGTGATTGATGGAAGAATGTGTGGTTAAAAAGTAAGGAGAATTTTTGGGTTTATGTGTAATATTATTTTATTGATAAAATGTGTGATTGAAATGAAGAAAGAGAAAAAAATGAGAATGAGAAAAAAATGGGTGCCAAACAGGGGCTAAAAGGACACTCCGGAATGAATAGTAATTTTTTAGAGAATGTGTAGTTAAAAAAAAATTACGTGTGATATTATTATATGAAAAAATGTATGATGGATAAGAAGAAAGTAAAAAATGAATATTAGGGATTTTAAATATGGATTTTAAGGAGTGCGTGATTAAAAATAAGTAAAAATTACAAATCCTAAACATTGTTTGACCAATATGTATACAATTATAAACTCTGAAAACATGCATATTTGCTCATTGTATTGTCTCATAATTAGGGATGAACTCTTTTTGATTCGGTGCAGTTAATAAAGAGAACCGAATCGGATTAAGAATTAATGGTATCTTGTAAATGGAGCCATCGGATTTGTCTTTATTTATAAAATCGAATCGGAACTGAACCATTCGATTTGGTTTGATTCCATACCATAATCAAAATTTTCAATGTTTTCATAATTCCAACAACTATTCCATTTTCCTAAAGTTTGAACAACGCAAGATTAATCTAACAAATGATAGGTCTTGTCTTACAAAATAACAAACATTGTCCAAATTTAAAAACAAAAAAACTGTCTGATAATATTCATTCACCAAAGCATACAAAGTTTGAAACAGCAAATCATTAATTTAATAAATGATAGTTGGGAACTCATAGTGAGCATATTTTTTTAGAAAACATTAAAATATTTTGACAGATTCAATATAAAAAAATTGAAAAATTCAATTCTTGACTCGATTCTTTAGATTCTTCAATTCTAGGTTTATAATCAAGAAACAAACCGAATTCATTGATTCTTGTATCCAATATCCATTACCCATTTTCCTACTCTCTTAAAAGAGGGACATTGAAGATTACTATCCATTTGTGATTTCTTCTCACACGTCACTATTCCATACGTGGACAAAAAAAAAAATGCAAGCCCACAATTGTTGACTTTGAAAAAAAAAAAGGTCTCTCTCCAGCGATCCACGGAACACGGATAAGACAGGGTGTCTCTGTGGAGACTCGGAGACAGAGACACAATCGTGTCTCTGTGCAAACATAAATTAAAAAAATAAAAAATAAAAACTTCTGCGGGAGTGTCTCCGTGTCTCCACAGAGACAAGTGTCTCCATGTGCGCACGAAGACACGGCCTGTCATCATACGCACGCAATTTGATGAGGTTCTATGCTTGTTGCTTCAAATATTAAATTGTTGAGACATTGTAATTTTATGTCGAAAATTGGTAAGAGCATTTTCTTAAATTCCAATTTACATCCAAGTTAACCAATCCTAATCTTTTTGCATTTGATGTCATATGTTACGTAAAGCGTATTTACTATACAATTTTTGAAGTCATGAAATATTGCATAGAAAAATATAATTGAATGAAAGAGAATTCAACACAGTTAAAGTGGTAATATTGCTTACAAAATAATCAATCCCGTGCAACAAAGGGGGAAAACTAGTATTTTAAAAAGAACAACATAATTCCATTCGATTTGAGATTCAAAGGGTGTGCAAATTGGGGCAAACGTACGGGGCCTCATCATTTTAGGGACGCCAAATTTTTTTTTTTGTTATATATATATAATTTTAAAAAACTTATTAATTTAAAATTTTAATTATTATTTTAAGTTAAAGGACCTAATCTTTAATGAAAAATGAGTTAAAAAATAGACAAATGATTATTTATATTTAATATTGTTGTATTTTTTATTCCTGATTACCTATCATACCAAGACATTTATATTAAAGTAAGAGAAATAATCAGATGGTTTATGTTCACTCATAACTAATTTCAGCGTGTTGTGCATAATTATTTTCATTTATGAATTATTTCTTTATTAATTATAGGCATTTGAGTTGATATGATATGCAATTACATAAGACACTAAAACCAAGAGTAATATAATTGACTAATTATAATTTTCTTGAATATAATTTTCTAAATAATATCATGCTTTAAATAATGTGAGGAAAAGGAGAAAAGAGGAAAACGTATAATTCGTAGGAAGAAACATTTTGATGAAAAATGTCACTGTAGAAGACGCATTATCACTTGAAGATTCTTTCATAACCAATTTTTTTTTTTTTTTAATAGTAGATCAAGCAATTGGATCACTTGAACGAAGATTCAATCAATTCAATTCATATGAAATAAATTTTGGATTTTTTATTTTCTTGTGAAAAGTTAAACACATTGGATGATATTAATTTGAAAGTATGTTGTGATCATCTTGACATTGTTCTAAGACATGTAATTTTTTTCGATCTTGATGGCAAAGATTTGTTCAAGAATTAAAATTTTTGCAAATTTTTTTATCAAAAGAAACAAAGACAACTTTTGATATTGACTTATTTGAAAAGAATGAATAGTTTTTCGAATACATTTTGCTTATAGAGTATTACTAACAATTAATGTTGTTAAAAAGAAGTTTTTCAAAATTAAAATTATTAAAATCTTATTTTACAATCAATCCTGTTACAAGAACGATTGAATGGCCATGTTTGATACCTATATTAAACAAGATTTGTTAGAACATATTGATTACGAAAATTTAATTAGTGAGTTAGCGTCTAGAAATGCGAGAAGAACTATTTTTACATGATTTATTGCATTTCAAAGTTTACACGTATTTGATGTTTCTGATTTCAAGATTTGCTCATAATTTGAACTTTACCTTACTCTTCTCACGATGTTTAAAAAATTAAACAGCATTTAAATATTATAATTTTGGGATCATATAATATTATTGAAATATTTTTTTTTAATTTCATGAAATGAGCACAATTTTAAAATGTCACATATGACATCTAAAATTTTAGGGCCGGCCTCGATACAGAAGACCTTGAAAAAAGGTTGTCTAAGATGGTCCTACAAAGACTGGTGTTGCAATTAACAATTAACAAGTTTCAGGGGCTGCGACACAAAAGAGAACACGTTTCAACTGCCCAGCCACGGTGGGGCTGGGACATTGACAGTGGTTCATTCATGCACATGCGGCGGAGATATTTAACGTACTACATGCAACTTGTGACATCATACTGGTCCATAGAATCCCTGTCGTAACATTTTTGACTTTTTTTGAGAGGTGAGCCAATTTTGTCTTCTTCGCTTTGGAAAACTGTTGGAAAATTCGGAATAAATAAATAAATAATTGTTCAGATATTGGCCCCAATATCGAAAGTTACACTATTCATCTAAAATTTAGATTGCATTATTACGTTAGTTATTTATTTTAAATAAATAAAAAACTAGTTTATTCGCATTATAAACTATATTTTTACTCATTGTCATAATAGATTACATTCGTTAGTTATTTTTATTAATTAATCTTGTCATGAAGGGCCTTGATTTCAAAATAAGTTATTATAAATTACGTATAAAATGTTTGACGATAGGAAACTATGTCACAAATTTGTTGGCGTG